AAAAAAAAAAAAAAAAGGATTTGGAGAGCTTGTTATTTGCGTACATTTTCTTAGCATGGTCACAAGAGTGTCACAAACACACAGTTAGGGGCTTTCTTAAAAGTCTCTCCTGCTCAACTAGTATCTTCTACAAATGTTACTTTTAACAAATTTTCTGTTGTTGTATCTGATTGGGCTTTCCTAATTGACAATATGGTTACAAGAAGAATGAAATGAAATAAGATCTAGTAAGCACTCCCTTCCTCTTCTCTATCCACCTTTCTTTTCTCTGCTCTTCTCTTTCCCTTCCTTTTATCTGCAGTTGTCACTGGGAATTAGACTGATTAAGAAAGAAGGTGGAATGGAATAAAGTCATCAGGATTAATAGATCAAGATAAGGTATTGGGGAAATAGCTAAAAAACAGAGGAGGTAGAGATAAAGGGAGAAAGGGGAGGAAAGGAATATGACAATAAAACAAAAGGATGAAAGGTGGCTTAAGTAACTCAGAGGAAGAAAAATAATAGAAAGATAGGCAGAAAACACTAGAATGATAAAAAAAGAAAAGGAGAAGATTAAAACTATAACACCTACCCATGTTTCATATTGTGCTATTTTTACTTCTGAAGGGAAAGAAGAAAAAGGCACACTCACCTGGACAGGCCGAAATCAGATACTTTAACAACTCCTCGATCGTTTACCAAACAGTTTCGAGCTGCCTGTAGTGCAAACAGATACCAGTGAGACTCCATCCCCAGCACAGAGGTTAAAAGCACAAAGCTTCTGCTGACCAGTAGAACGAAGCCAGGGAAGCCCCATCTCCTTGAACTACAGACACCTTCCCACCTAATAGGAATCTGTTGATGCCACCGAGAAATTTTGATTCATTTCCACCGTGTGGAAAGCAACCTGCTGTGTAGTCCTAGGTAAAGCACTGAGGACAGACAGAATGATCGCATTCTTATGAGCAATTCCACACTACCCCATTCCCTCGCCGATATGCTGAAATAAGGGAGAGGCTGGCTGCAGTGGCTCACGTCTGTAAGTAATCCCAACACTGTGGGAGGCTGAGGCAGATGGATCACCTGAGGTCAGGAGTTCAAGACCAGCCTGGCCAACATGGTGAATCTCCATCTTTACTAAAAATACAAAAATTATCTGGATGTGGTGGCAGGTGCATGTGATCTCAACTACTTGGGAGGCTGAGACAGGAGGATTGCTTGAACCCAGGAGGCAGGGGTTGTAGTGAGCCGAGATGGTGCCATTGCACTCTAGCCTGGGCGACAGAGCGAGACTCTGTCTAAAAAAAAAAAAGAAGGGAGAATGAGAGGTAAGTTTGTTTTGCTTTCTGCTTTTCTTCCTGTGAGACTAGAGCAATTTGAGCCTTGGCCTGACTGAAAGAAACAAGGGCACAAACTCTGATGCTTACAGAGGCCGGGCAAGCTAAGTAAGAGTGAAGTGAAGTAGATGGAAATTGCAGGAAATGGAGAGCAGCACACTGGTCTAAAGGAAAGGAGGTGGCTCATGAGAATGTGGACCTGGCTTTTCCAGATGGTCTGGATTTTCAAGAGAAGCTGGAAATTCCAGGGTTTTTTTTTTAAAGCAAAATGTTTCTTTTTAAGGGTTTGCTAATTATTATGTAACATTTAAAACAAAACAAAACAAAAACACATGTGGGCCAAATGCATCCACAGGACCCAGTTTGTGACTGCGGAATAACCTAATGATGGCCCCATGCCAGGAGCAGTCCCAGTGGGAAACACAGTCCCTTCTGTTCCAAATCCAGAATAACCACAGAAAGACCCCACCATTTTCTTGTGGGTAGCAGGGGGTTGGGGGTGAGTGACTGCTCTAATTCCCACCATGGCAGGCTTCGTGGAGTTGAGGCTGGAGATACTTGATGGGCTCAGCACTGGAACAGAGGCACACCTAGTTTCTAGTGTTTTCTAGATAAAACTGAAATGATGGCACCAGCAGCCCCCCTCAACCATGTATGATATATCTTCCATTTCTACTTCCACCCCACCAGCCCTTGGTCCCAGGCCAATCCTTCTAAGATCCCACCAAGTCTCGGTGAAGGAATTGCTTTGACTCCAGGTATTCCATGGCTTCACAGACATCCTTGCACATTTCCAGCAGCTGCTGAGTCTGGAAGCGGTGGCGCATCTCCCTCAGGTAGTTCAGGAGGCAGCCATTGGCCATGTACTCAGTGATGATGAAGATGGGGCGCTGCTTGGTGCAGACGCCATACAACTGCACCAGCTTCTCATGGGAAAGATTCCTACAGGAAGGGCAAGCAATTAGTCTTCCCCTTTTGGCTCTGCATACTAGTCATAAAGGGGCTGAGGAGGAAAGGGGTTGACCTAGGAGTAGAGCATCAGATAAGGAGTCATACCAGCAAATTTATTTTCCTCCTTCCCACCCTAAATCCCAAAAGTGCTTAATATGTGGAAGTGAACAGGGATTTGGAGCCCATCAGTGGAAAAGGAAACAAGTCCAGGAATGAAATAATGCTAAGGCTAAATTAGAATCTTTCTCTTGAAAATTTAATTTTCTACATCTACCCCCAAATGCTACTGAGATGGTACACACCCATGATCATCACTATTCTCAATCAATATCTAAGGCCGAGAAATGATTATCTTAGCAATTAGGACTCCCACCAATTAAAGGTTAACTTCAGTCCCTCATCCCAAACCTCTCTCACTGTAAGTCACCTTTAAACCACAGTGGGTTGTCGTGGGAATTCCTAGACTCCAGCAAATAGATTGAGAGTTGAGTTTGGGCTATAACTCACATCATGACTTTGGCTTCTTCAATGAATTCATCTTCAGACATGGAGCCTTCTTTGATCATCTTGATGGCCACGTCATACTGGCCTCTCCATTTCCCATACTTCACTACCCCAAATTGTCCGGCCCCCAACTCCTTCAAGAAGGTCAGGTCCTTTGGATCAATTTCCCATGATCCTAAGAACAAAGTCTTGGTGTGATTCTTTGGGGTCATGAATGTATAATTCTTACAATAGATAAGAATACCTACTGGGGTAGAAATAGGGAAAGTAGTAAAAGAGAAATTTTTAGAAGTACTAATCCATCTTTGCTTAAGTCAATCTCAAAGACAGGGGATTAACTGGTTAGAGGAATCTGGGAATTTTAGGTTCAAGGTGGCCATAAGGCAAGAAGATAGACTAAGCAACTTCCCAAAACTCCCTTTATGATTATGTTAGTGATGGTAGTTAATGAACTCAGGGATGGTGCTGAAAATTTTCCCACAATCAAAAATAAAAGGCAGGCCGGGTGGGGTGGCTCACACCTGTAATGCCAGCACTTTGGGAGGCTCAGGTCAGCGGATCACGAGGTCAGGAGTTTGAGACCAGCCTGACCAACATGTAGAAACCCCATCTCTACTGAAAATACAAAAGGTAGCTGGGCGTGGTGGTGGGCGCCTGTAATCCCAGCTACTCAGGAGGCTGAGGCAGGAGAATCGCTTGAACCCCAGAGGCAGAGGTTGCATTGAGCTGAGATTGTGCCATTGCACTCCAGCCTAGGCGACAGAGTGAAAACTCCATCTCAATAAACAAACAAACAAATAAATAAAAGACAAAAAGACCCAAGACGTCAAAGCCATTTATGAATCAATGTTTTTGCAGTCCCAGTAGTAGCCACTAGAGGAAGAAAATCACTGAATAACTTTGGCTTGGGTCTGTCTTGACCGTTCTCCAGGCAGCTGTTGCAGAACAGTGTAACTCAAGGATACTCCCTAAGGCAAGGCCTGCAAAGGTAGTTTTGGCAACTGGCCAGTCCACCCTACTCCAGAGAAATAAACAGTTACCATATCCCAGGCCTGCAGTGGAAGGTGCATTCTTGTTTTGTTGAGACACTGGATATTTGAGCCTGGATATGAGTCCTGAAACATAGAGAGAGGTCATGGTGTTGGTGTGGTGTACGAGTAGGATGCCTCACAATCCTCACTTAAAGCCTCACACTTCCCGTGTGTGTCTTTCTAGTACATTTTGAATCCCAGAAGACCTCCATGAACTCACATATTTCCAGAGGTTTCTCCTCTCACAAGGGACTTTTCAGGGACAAAAAAGAGAAAATACTAATTTAAATACACCTCCTAACTGAATATATTTCTACCTCCCAGCACAAGCTTAGCTCACATCCTACCTTCTTGATGAAGCTTATCCCCCATATCCATGCCCTCACTGATCCCTCAATTTTTAGAATTTTACAGTGCTTAGAAACTTTCTTCTGATGTTGTCTAACCTGTATGTTCTTTGAAGACAAGGACCTTGACTCAGAATGTTCTTGTGTTCTCCTCTAGAACTGAGGAAATCGCTGAGTACACAGTAGGAACTTGATGAATACTTGCTGATGAATCAGTCACCAGCCTCTTTTGTGTCTTCTCTTAACACTGAGCATTAATCACCAAATAAAAAGTCAGTCCCTACTGGGTGTAGGTCTGCCTCTGACCACCCCTTTACCAGCTTCTATCCAGTATCACAGGGATTTCCTTTCACAGCGAATTCACACTGTCCTGTGAGGTGGATTCTTCCTCTTATCACCTTGTCCTACATTGCTTTTCCTGGTTTCTGTAATCCCCTTCTCAGTTGCCCCTGGTACTCACCTGCAGAGTTGTGCTGATGGTAGTTAATGAGCTCAGGGATGGTGCTGAAAAGGTGCTTCTCAGCCAGGTAATACTGGCTCTGAGGTGTGGAACACACAACATAATGACGTATCACCCCTTGAGAGTCCCTGAAGAAGTGAATGCTTAGTCAGTAACTTGTGCACAAAGGTCAGCAGAACTCAAGAAGTGAAGTGAGATGAGTTTTGAGTTTCAGAGACACAGGAAGTGGGACGGGCACACCATCAAGGAACTATTGGGAAAGTACCCTGTTTTTTTCCTCAGGGCCTTAGAATAGTAGCACTCACCCTGTGGATTTAGCAAACACAGACACTGTGTATTTGCCAGCTTTGCTGGAGTCTCTGACAATGAAACCTCCTTCTTTCCCCTGAAACAACGAAAAAGAAATTGTCTGTAGGAGGAAGTGGTGCTTACACCTGCATCCCACCTGCCCAAACTTGAGAAAGAAAATAGAACCACCCCTAATTTTACTGTCAAGTTCCACACTTGAGCTACAGCCTCATTGCTTTTAGTATTAAAAGATGCAGGCCGTGCTTGGTGGCTCATGCCTGTAATCCCAGCACTTTGGGAGGCCAAAGCGGGTGGATTACCTGAGGTCAGGAGTTCGAGACCAGCCTGGCCAACATGATGAAACCCCGTCTCTACTGAAAATACAAAAATTAGCCAGGTGTGCTGTCACGCGCCTGTAATCCCAGCTACTCAAGAGACT